GGACATCCCTCTGACAGCCCACAGTTGGACATCTTAAGCTGCAGTCGGATATCCTTAGCACTGCCACAGAGGCAGGAGAGACTCCTGCCACCGCTGCTGTGCTCAGCCCGGCTTGTGGCTGAGCAGAGCTCTCCCGGTGGGAGCACACTGACCACCAGGGGGCAGCTCCTGTTTTGAGTGTCTGCCCCCTGGTGGTCAGTGCTTGTCATAGCGACCAGTCGTTCTGTTAGGGTCAATTTGCATACTACCCTTTTATTATATAGGATTACAATCCAACTTGCTATAGACAACACTCCATACACAAAATCTTATGAATCATTAAAGAATATAATTATTAAGTTCTATACTTCTATCCAAATTGCCACTAAGTAATTGGGGGTTATTTTTTGTCCCTAAAAACATACAATATTTTAATTGTTTTGTAATGAATGCATATATTTTATATATAGATTAGTTTACATGGTTAAGTTTTGGCATTTCTTGAAAATTCAGGGTATAAAATAATGTGATTTCTTGACAAATTGAATTCATTATCAGTTAGGTTATAAGTGTGGGTATTTGAAAGGTTCTGCTAACTCATTTCCCTTCCTCCCTCCTGTTCTTTTCAGTCTTTTCTTGAAATTAGAGATACTAACATACTATGTTTTTTGAACAATTAAAAACTAGATAAAGTGATTCTTTGATAAACTTAGTAATACGTTTTCTTCAGTATTGCCATTTGCAAGGCCCTTTTATGCTTGAAAACTAAGAAAGTAACTGGCATTAATTTGCTTTTTTAGGTCCCTTCTGCTTTACATTTTACTATCTCAGAATGTCGGATTTTGTTACCAGTTAATATAACATGTGTGTGAGTGTAAGTAAGGGTCAAAGGAGTTTTTTTTCCAGCTTTTGGTTTATTTTTTCTCAATGCAACATAACTCCAGGCATAACTCATTTTTCAATTTAGGATCTGTAAAGGTCTCTGCAGCAGCAATTTGGTGACTCTATTCTACCTCTCTGTGAATGTTATTTAGGGCACAGCATGTTACTTAGGGATAGTGAAGGCATTTGACAGAGCTGAGCATGAACGTTGGGAAGTGGTTAAGAAGTAGGTAAAGTATGTCCAGAGTGGGGAGGGCCTTGACTACTAAACATGGGAGTTCCTGGGTGTTTTGGGTAGAGTGACATTCAATCAATAAATAGAAGCAAAGTCCAGTATAGGCCAGTAGGAAGAAACCCTGAAGATGTAGAGATCTTTTGGAAACTTTTGGAAATTGTGTGGAGTGATCCCCTCTTGCATGCCCACAGACTGTCCAGAGCTACCCTGCACTAGCTGAACGGAATAATGACAGATTAGAAACAGCTCAGCCATTTTGCTTTTCAGTTGTGTTTTACATCACATGCATATATGGAACATTTTCAGTACAATCTACTTCAAAGTTAGAGAAAGGGAATAAAATGTGAATAGAAGGAACAATTAATCACTTGTAACATTACTGCAGTCTAATCAGCAAGTCTGCCTTGCCCAAAGATGCAATCTTCACATTGTCTCCTTCCACTTAGGCTGGCTCTAGACTCAGGGTAATGTTCTCTGCCTGGAGACACCTTGGAACTGCGTATAAAAGCAACTGATAGAATTGTTACACACAATAACCTGTGTGATTTGAAAACTCATTGTTCTTTAAAGAGTATAACAAATATTTTCACATTCTTCTTTCAACCTAATTCTTCTAATGGGGGTAGGGGGAAAACTTCATGCATCCTTTTCACAGAATGTTCTCCAAGTCTACACATTATTTTCATTTCATGGATACCTAAGCATAATAGTAAAGTGAGATGGACAGCTGCTACTTTGCCCTGAAGTAAAGAGATAGTTTAACATAGTTGAAGAGAAGTCACAGGCCCGTTATGTGAGACCCCAAAGCATCAGAATCTTACAACAGGAGACAGCTGTGGAGCAAAGGCGTGAGGACCTGGCACTCACATTGCTTGGAAGGATTTCTCTTGACTCTTGTGGACAGAAGTCAGAGAAGCAGCAATATCTTAGGGCCTCCTAACCTAGAGAAGAAGACTGAGAGAAGCAAATAGAAATAGCTCCACCAATATTTTAAGCTCACTCCAATGCTTTTCATTTTTCCTCTAAAAAAGATTGAAATGACTAAAGAGTATTTTTGTTGAAACCAAAGGGTTTATTTTCTAAAAGTAATGTTGGTTAAATAACTCACTATATGAGTTTTAGAAAAACAGAAATTACACAAATGTACTCCTGTGAGGCAAAAGCACCATATTCACATTGTCTACATTATTTAAAACTATAGTAGGTATTACTGTACAGTTATCCCTCAGTATCTGCGTTTGGTCCCACCAATAACTAATTTCTTGGATGCTCAAATCCCTTATATAAAATGGCATAGTATTTGCATATAATCTACATACATCCTCCTGTACATTTTAAATCATATCTAGGTTACTTATGATACCTAATACAATGTAAGTAGCTGTTATACTGTACTAGAAGCCCGTTACACAAAATTTGTGCCGGGGGTGAGGGGGTGGGGGGACTTCAGCCCGGCCTGCACCCTCTCGCAGTCCGGGAGCCCTTGGGGAACATCCACCTGCTGCGGGCCTAATCCGGCAGTTGGAAATCCCTCTCGTAGTCTGGGACCCTTCGCTCCTTACCGCCTGTCTGCTTGCTGCTCCTTACCACTCAGTTTGCTGCTCCTTAGTGCTGTCACGGAGGCGGGAGAGGCTCCCGCCACTGCCGCTGCACTTGCCAGCCATGAGCCTGGCTTCTGGCTGAGCGGCACTCCCCCATGGGAGTGCACTGACCACCTGGGGGCAGCTTCTGTGTTGAGCATCTGCCCCCTGGTGGTCAGTGCGCATCATAGCGACTGGTCGTTCTGCCTTAACGGTTGCTTAGGCTTTTATTATATAGATTACATAGGGAATAATGACAAGAAGAAAAGTCTGTATATGTTAATCATTGACACAACCATTGTACGCCTAACTACATAGTCATGTCTGTAACAGCATAGCCTTTTCTTCTGAATATTTTCAATTTGTAGTCAGTTGAGTCTGCTTAATCAGAAACTGTGGATACAGAGGGCTGACCATATTAGATTCCCAAGAGGTAAGAACCATATAGTCAAATAAGAATGAATTAATTTTTATCCATTATTATATGAATGTAAAACAAAAGCTTTTTCTTTTTGGATTTTCAACAAATTTGAAGATAGTCCACATGATCTGACTTAAAATGTTACTATGGAATAGAAATGAAGTTTGGTCTGTTGATTGGCAGGTAGCACCTTAAATCGACAAGCAAGTCCCCTTCCCCGCAGTTGCAGATATTGATTTGTCAAGAAGCTGCTTTGCGCAAGGCCAAATGGGACTAATTCAGAGATGGTTAATTATTCTCCTGAGCCATATGGATTGGTTAACTGGTACATAAACATGAGTAATTAATGTTTATTACTCCACACCATGACTGCTGAAGAGTCAAATTTTGAATGAGCCATATCAACATTTTTAAATCTATGATTAAATAAATATGTCACAAGAAAGTGGGTGTTGAGTACACATAATACTTCATAAAGAGAAAATAACCTTGTAAAGAAAAAAATTGAAGTTCTCTAGCATACGTTGAACCTTTTAAATTAATTACACATTTTCATTTGCATCATTGTTTGGTTCTAAAATCCCATTTTAATTTCAAATAGAAAACACATGTATTTATGCTATTCTGTGGAAAGAGATGATATGTGATTTTTTTAAAAAAATATTATTTGTTGCCTAATTTCCCCAATTTTGCAGTGTATTGAAGGAATGTTGAAATGTTTTTTATTTGTAGTGTTGAAAATTGTAATCATTGCTTACAACTTTATTGTTAGCCACTGATTTTCCTGATACATTAATAACATTTTGTCACAGTTTAAGTGTATCTATTGGAAACTGAAAGCTACTGGTCTATTTTAAAGCTATGTCTTCAATTGACATAACTTGCCATTTAAAGTCCTATTTCAGAATATGATTGCTCAGAATTGTTTCATTTCTATGGCTAATACAGAGAAGAAAAAAATAAAGGCTGAAGAAAGTGTTTTTTTCTGGGCTTAGAATAAAGACATTCCAGAATATCTGGCATAGATCGTGATTTCATTTGAATTTTAGTTCATTTGAATTCTTTCAGCAATTTCCCCCTTATATCCAGAAATCAAATATGTAATATCTAATTCCTTTTGGCTTTAGTTTGTTTTGGTAGTAACTCATCCTGAAAGCAAGGTGACCACGGCAGTGGGTGAGTTATCCTCCTCTCCCACTAACTTTGTCTAATTTGTCTTTGGAGCCCATTGCCCAGCTCAGGGGCGGGCACACCGTAGGCACTCCTCAAATGTAAACTGAAGAAATGAAAGAGGCAAAGGTAAACTGATGCTTATTTTAAACAATTTAGTAATACTGCTCACTGAGGTCCCCAGGGGCCTGCTATCGTGTGGATCCTATTATCTCTAAGTCACCCAGATAACCAAGGAAGCTAGCACGTGCTTGGGCTCCACTCATCAATCTAGTCAAAATAAAACTGGTGCTTTTCCTTCTAAGCCATACTGTGGACATTGGGCGTCTGCAGAACATTACATTAAAAGGGTTAACTGCAACTGAATATATTTATGTAGAGCACTTTTTGGGCTCAGTAGGTCTCACCCTGAAAATTAAACCTCAGAGAAATTAAGCGATCTCTCTAAAATTGCCTATCCACACAGCAATAAGAAGCCGATGCTGCATGAAAGACCTTCATTTTGAGGAGTCACTCCTGCAATACTATTTGGTTAACAATTAAGTTAGAAAATTAAGTGTAACATTTCACAGATAATAAACATTTAAAAAACCACTAGTTGTAAGATAGCAGAAACTGCTCCCAGTAAAAACAGACTAAACTCCAGAAGGTCAGAAAAGTCTGCAGCAACTCTCTTACTGTAGAATCAGAGCATATGTTCAAACTTGCAAATACATTTGTGGTTACTTCCTACCTTAAATACATTGATGGGGATATCAATGATCACATAGATAAGGTCTCCAAGGGCAAGGCTGGCTATCAGCGCGTTGGGTCCGTTCCTCATACACTTGTTCTGGTAAATGATTCTGAGCAGAGTTGCGTTCCCCACCATTCCCACGATGAAAATAGTACAAGATATCACAGTGTTAATGTATTTGAAAGCTGAAGTAATCTTGGTCCGCTGTGGACAATAGTTGTGCATTGAGCCATTGCTGGGTAGGGCCAAATTAGTGGGTCGATGAGTGGTAACCAGGAAGCTGAGCTCTGTCCCGCGAAAAGTGGTAAAATCGTCCATATGCGTGCTTAGATTTGTGCTGTAGCTCTCAGGATTATCACTAATTACACATCCAACCAGTGCCACCCAAAAGGACACCCTGAAGCAAAAGGTTTCCATCTTGATGCAAATTTGAGGAAATGTCTCTTATTCTGTTGCTTTTACACCCTCACTTTTTTTTTTCCACCTAGAAAAAAAAGAAAAATAATTTTGGTTACAAAATCCAGCTGCCAGTAAGACTGCAGTCAATGATTATTTACTGCTCCAGTTAAAAAGCAGGATATATTTGGTAATTAGATAAGATATATCTATGTCAGCTTACCCCAAAGCAGAACAAAATCAGAAAAGAGCAAAGCTCTATTAGGGCAAGTTCTCTCTCTCTCTCTCTCTCTCTCTCTCTCTTTCTCATCTCTGTCCATAGCTATACTTATATCTAGATTATAATACGCATGAGGATATGTCAGTTTTTTTTTAAGAAGTAGCTTAAAAGCTGCTGTTTTCCATCCACTATCCCTCTGCTAAGAATCTGAATTACAAAAATCTTGGAGAGTTGAGATACATTTTACTAGTGGAAAAGAAAAGGCATTAAATGCTGAGTAAAAGTTATATAGTGCTAAAGTAATGGTTCTCAACCTTCCTAATGCTGTGGTGACCCCCAACCATAAAATTATTTTCGTTGCTACTTCATAATTGTAATTTTGCTACTGTTACGAATCATACTGTAAATATCTGATATGCAGGATGTATTTTCATTGTTACAAATTGAACATAATTAAAGCATAGTGATTAATCAGAAAAACAATATGTAATTATATATGTGTTTTCCGATGGTCTTAGGCGACCCCTGTGAAAGGGTCGTTTGACCCCCAAGGGGTCACAACCCACAGGTTGAGAACCGCTGTGCTAAGGCATAAGATTACCAATTCTATAATTAAGAATCCAATATTCCAAAATATGTGCTAGTTTTCACATGGTAAATAATGAACATGGTAATAAAATGCAGCATAGGTAGCCATTTAAAGCATTATGCCATGTTAATTTAAAATCAGAACTCTGGTTAACACCATCTCTACATATAACAATTTTACTACTAGTTTGAAATAAACATGACGTAACTGATAAAGACAAAATATTTATTTTTATTGAAATCCCTGATGATTAATGTGTACAATCTACTAGTACATCTTCTGACAGGAGTTTTGGGTTTTTCCATTCCTCAGAAATTATCGGCATGATATTTGCCAAGTGAAACTGGGAGTAATGGACTTTCCCAGGCAGGCACACCATTGGTTTTCTGAGGGATATCTGTCTCACGCCTGGTCACGGTGCTGGGCACTCCATAGGCATGTTGCCATCTGGTCTATACTCTCCCTGACCCTGTGAAGCAGATACATTTTCCATTCTAAGGGTAGGGAACCAGAGACTCAGGAACGTCAAGATGCTTGTCAAAAGCACAGGTGGTGGGTGGCAATGCTGTGATTCTAAGGCAAGTTAATCCAACGTTGAGCTCTTAACCTCTAGCCTGCACTGCCTCTCATTCTCATGCCTTCTTAGCACTTGAAATGTTTAAATGAATTCTCCAGAGTTTCAGTGAAGCAGTGGACTTAGAGGTTGGTGAGATGTTTCAAAAGACCATTTGTTTGTTTGCTTGCTTGTTTTAGTCACTTTTGTGGAGCAAGTGGTCTTTCTTGCCCCGGAAGTCTACATTTTTCTTCTTTAATCCTTAAAGAAAAGATGGGAAAATGAGGGCGGTTGGTGGTAACACAATAAGCAAAGGTAAATAAAAATGGCTCCTCACATTTAAATAGTTTTGTATTTTCTTGCTTGTGAGTTTTTAACAATCTTTTAAAATAAAGGCCCTAAGTTCATTTATGCCCACCAATGGTGGGTGTGTCTGTGACATAAAATTTAATTTTTAAAAATTGTGTCCTTTTTCTGAGTTTATTTGTGGTTGGAATTAACCACTTTTAGGGATTTTGAGTTATCTTTGACAGTTATCAATAAAGCGTAGTCAATATGTGGAGGAAATGAGATTTATTCATGTTGTATAGAAGATCTAAAGTAAACAGATCTCAGAAACAACTCTAGGTGGGCAGGGCCAATATCCCCATTTTATGCATAAGGGAACTGAGTCTTTTTCATGGCCAAGAAGCAGTTCAGGAGATAGAGTGCTTCACTTTACTTTGCTTTTAGGACTTGACTCAGTCTGATATTATAAAAATAAATAATAAAAAGTGATAAAAAGCATCAATTTTTCTAAGCTAGGGGCATACTATGTACATATCAAATCTGCCTGGACTTATAAGTAGTTTTTTTCTTGCTTCTTACATTGTGGAGTGAGTATCTAACCTAATATTGACAGACCCTGTTTCCATTCAGCATTGGAGACCAGAACTTTGAGAACAAAGCATACTGTCATCCTCTTCAGATTAGAGAAGGGAGAAAAAAAATCCTTCAATATCTTGTGCTGTTTAATGACTAAAGCCTCCTCCCAGTTTCCCAATCAGAATGGAACCTTCATGAATGCTTTTACTAAAACTAAGAGAGAGAAGGCTTTTCTCAGTAATGGAATGACTCCCTGCCCATTAGAGTCTGTTAGAGGATATTTCGTAAACTGACCTGGCTATCGTATTCTGCCACCCACAAAAGGTGCCACTAGTGTTTGAACACTGGCTTGCTGGTCTGCTTGGTCCGCTGATTATAGCAGGAGCGAAGGAGGCCAAGGCTGTGGGTTCTTATCAAAGTGTGAGCTAGCTACTATTAAAACCACTTTCCTTCCCCTGCAACAATGACACCACCGCAGAAATCATTTCTGATGGTGCCTCCATCAGCTCTCTACATGTTAAGCTGCGGAGCTACCGGATACTTGGCAAAGGCATGTGAATACCACATATTGCATGAAAAATACAAAACCACACAAAAGAAGCTCCTTCAAATGCATGTTCCTCCAAGGATGAGCCTGTAGCTCATTTCCATGGATCTAAGTCATGCTGTGCTTGGAATAATCAGTCATACCCAGTCATAGCTCTAGTGAAGCATCTGAGGTTCAGACCTCAGGGACATGGTTTATACATTCAGCATTCTTCTGTTTGGGGTCTAAGAATTCGCTTAAGTTCAAAAGTTATTATTAAGGAAGAGGACTGGACCCTTATGCTTATACTTTAACCATTTAACATCTCTGATTCTCAGGATCAAAGTGGACCTGTACTATAATTAGTAATTTGGGAATTCCAACCTCACCTAAATGGTCTGAGTTCAGAGCAGGTAGTTACATGAAATGATTGTCAAGATGTTTCCCAATTAGTTGCCACTTAAAACAGAAGGTATTGGGGAGGGGGTGGCGGGGAGCCAGGGAAGCCATGAGTATCTACAAGAGGAAAAACAAAAAACTAGGTACTTTCTACAAGTTTTCTGTGGGTTTTGCTCCCTGGGTAAGATATTAGCAACTGTCCTTGCTGACAATGTCTGACTTTAATTTGCCTCCCACCCACCCCTCTCCGCCGCCAGCTCTATCCGGAACGCCATTAGGATGGTGTAAACAGAGGCTGATTATCTAGAAACAGCCCTAGTTTTCTGCACGTGAAAGGCAACAAGTGGCCTTTAAAGGACAGCATAGAACCGAACGCCCAGACATCCACAGGCAGGTTTCCAAACCAGCTGCCCTGGGGGTTTCCAAAACATCTGTCCCGCACACCGAGTGCCCTTGGCTGCCCTTGACAAGCCCGGGTGTGCAGGGAGCAGAAGCAGGCAAGTAAGAAAAGGCTGCGGGACACCTCTCACAAGTACGCTTTGGAGCTTGCGACAGGGGCGTGATGTTCCATAAAGTTCTTCCGTGCCCGGGGGAAATGGGAGACCCAGGGAGAACTGTATATTTTCCTTTAACTAAAAATCCGAATCCCACCTGGGTAGGCAGCGGGCTTTCAATCAGTTCCTCAAACCCCAGACGTGCCCGCAAAGAGCCCCTCCTAGGAAGGCGCCGGCGCCACCACGCACCCCTAGACCGTGTGGGAGGGTGGCCCAAGGTGCAGGACACCGGGCGGAATGGATGCCTGCTCCCTCTCCTCCCAACCGAGGGGCTCAGGCGACATCTCCCCACCCCTGGCGGGTCCCCGAGAGGAAAGAGTTGCACCGACCGTGGAGCTAGGCGGGCGCAGACAGCTGCCCGGTCCGCTCGGCACCTGGGCGGCTGGGCGAGAGGAAGCAGAGCCGGAGAGATTGGGTGGCCTGGGTCCTGAGCTCCCGCGCGGCAGCACTCGGGCTGCACTGCTGCCTCTCCGTCGGAAAACTTCCTGGGCACCGCTTCTGTGGCGGAGGTCTCCCCAGCCCCCAGCCTCTGGCCACCGGCGGGGATGGAGCCTCGCCACCACAATCCACAATCGCCAGACCACAGGGATGACTGCGCGCGCAAGGACTAGAAGAAAAAGGAAACTCCAGAGGAGCACACGCCCCCCGCCCCGTCTGTCTGGCCTCCCCTTCTCCAAAATCTCCCCGACCTTCTGCTTTACTCTAGGACAGAAAGAACGTCCTAAGGTTCCAGCCCTCCTTAGAGGCAGCCACTATAAAGCACAGAGCCGCCCCCTCCCAGGCCCTGCAGGGCAGGAGTCTTGTTTTAACTATTTCCTTCCTGAAATGAAGGGGTGGTGTGTGTGTGTGTGTGTGTGTGTGTGTGTGTGTGTGTGTGTGTGATAATCCAGGAAGGAGGATAGTTCATCAGACAAGCCCGACTCGAGAAAGGCAAGCAGAGAAACCCATTCCCTTCCTCGTAAATGCAGGCAGATTTGATCTGTGACGGAGCCACTGCAAACAGAGGCAGCTAGGGTCCAAGCTCGGCTGCTCCTCTGCGTTCCCTGCCCCTTTGCTTGGCTTATACGCTCCCTCTTAAACTCAGAGCAGGTTGAAGAACCCACGTGGACTGTATTTTACAGGATCAAGTACCTTTTGCTTCTGTCTTGTCTCTTGAAGCCAGCACCCAAAGGCTACTAGCCCAGGACAAAGCAGGAGCCATGGAACGTCTATGGAGGGTCCAGTGTGTGGCTCAGAGAAACCTATGATTCCTGTGGAGATCCAAACAGTGAGGGTGCAGATGCTGCAGAAGATGGATCTTAGCATCTCTATATGATAGTGAGTTTATCCTAAATTAGGCAGTGGGAGAGGAAATGAGAGGCAAAGGCCATTGCCTGTGACATGTGAGAAAAAATTGAGGGCTCCTTAGAGAAGGCCTTGCCTCGGAGTTCTTTCGTTCACTGTTGGTGTGAGGCTTGCTGTGGAAATGTGTATGTGGAGGACTGGATGGTCACATTATATTGTAGACTGTTCTGGTTATCTACTGTAACTAAAGCAAATCACCCTAAACCGGTAGTGGCCACTTTACTCATCAGTCTGCAATTTGGGTGGGTCTTGGCTAGGACGGCTCATCTTTGCTGGGACTGGAGGCTTCACTTCCAAGATAGTTCACCTACAAAGTGGTTTAGGCTTCCTCAGAGCATGGTGGCTAGGTTCCAAGAAGGAGTGTTCCAGGAGAAGGAAGTGGGAGCTGCTAGTTTCTTAAGGTCTGGGCCTGGGAACTGGTACAGGGTTACTTCTGCAGAATTCTATAGCCAAACAGTCACAGATCCCAGATGCAAGGTGAGAGGATATCGATTCCACTGTCAGTGCAGTGTCAAATAATTTGGGGGGCATTTTGTACAACCATCAAAGAGATCCACAGAGTATCACCATTGAAAGGGGCCTTAGTAGTCATCTACCAATTGGACTCATTATTACTAATCTGTTGTATTACAGTATCCCCATGATGAGGAATCAGTCAGCCAGGATAACCAGTAGCTTTTATAAGTGCCTTAATTTGCATTAAAAAATGAAAATGATGCCCCTTGGAGCACATGACCTGGTCAGCTGACAACATTTATTTTTCTTTATTGATGAAGGTATTACATATGTGTCCTTATCCTCCCATTGCCCCCCCACTCTCCACCCCCGCTCATGCCCTCACCCCCCTGGTGTCCGTGTCCATTGGTTAGGTTCATATGCATGCATACAAGTCCTTTGGTTGATCTTTCACTCTTACCCCCACCATCCCCTACCTTCCCTCTGATGTTTGACAGTCTGATCAATGCTTCTCTGTCTCTGGAGCTGTTTTTATTCATCAGTTTATGTTGTTCATTATATTCCACAAATGAGTGAGATCATGTGATATTTATC